CATAATAATTCATACAAATAACAAATTGTGATTACTCTGTATAGTTGAAAACAAAAATGAGATAAAACTAATAAAAACATTAATATAACAAGTGTGCAAGAAAATATTTTTTTCTAGAAATATGACCCCCTTTTTTTCTTTGCTAGGCCGTCATGATGTAATAGTTTTTACACAGGGCTTCGGTTTAATTCGATTACTCGGCCACAGCATTTTATACATTATGTACATATGACTGCATAATCAGTGTTTAAATGTACAATCAAAATTAAAATTTGTAGACTTAGTAAATTCAAGGTAAATTTTCCCAAACATATAATAGTTGACTTAGTTATGCCTTTGCCTGTTTCTTGTTGCTTGCTAAGTAATACTTACCGACCAGACAGTCTGATTAATGGTCAAAAGGCTTCTGAATGCTAAAAGTGTGTTTGTTGGTGTATTTCCTAAAAAATAAATTTTATTTCCTGCTGATGCTACAATGAATTTCATGGAATCAAAATTATTTCAATCTGTTGTACTCTTGGCAGAACACCACAGCCCCAATAAATGTTGGTGTTGTTGTTGTTTTCTTAGTGTAAAGCTACACAATGGGCTATCTGCACACTGTCCACCGCGAGAACTCGAGCCCAGGATTTTAGTGTTCTAAGTCCGTAAACTTACCGTTGAACCTTTTGGGGGGACCCAATAAATCAGAAATCAGCAAAATAAAGTAAATGTTGCCTTGAAAGTTGTGTGGTGCGTGTGTATACCAGTTAGTGGATTTTATTTGTTTTTATTGTGTTTATTTACAATCACTAATAGCATAGGGCCAGGCATGAGTTACGTGGTAAGCGTGCCAGACTGTGGATCGGAGGGTCCATAGGTTGAGTCTCGTTACCGCAAAAATGATAGCGCTTCGTACTTTGGGACTGTTGGTACGTTATAAAAGTGAGGGTCAGATCTTACTAGTCGATCACAATGGGTGCGTCTGGCTAAATATTTTCTTTTAACCTATCAGTTCAAAATTAGTGACGACTAGCGCAAGCTAATATTGTGTAGTTTTGCGCTGATATCTGAAATGAACTACATAAAAAGCAAAATAAATTAAATAATGAACAATTCGTAAGTGGTTTGGCCTGAAGGGTGAAGTTATAAAAAATATTGAGTAGTCTTAAAAACTAATCCCTAAACTTAGGGTATAATATACCTCATATAGCCTTCATGAAATTATATTGTCTTCGAGATAAATATTTGAAATTGAAAAAACATAGCTGAACCAAAGGCATCTTCATACTGGAGACCACAGACAGTCCCTCTCTACAAATTTTGAATTTGAAATTTATATTTGTTTGCAACTCATAAAAATGATTAATGATTTAAGGTGACAGAATACCATATGTAGTATCTTGGATCATCGGCACCTTGCTTTCATCATTACTCTTATTAGTATAACTATAGGTAAACAATTAAACTTTAAGTGCAACTGCTTGAATTTCCGTAATCATCATTAAACATTATTTTCATGACATATAATTCACTTGAAAATTGTGTAATTGTTCTGTACTAAACTATTTGAAAAAACGTGATCTCGATTCACATTAATGTTTAATTGTAAATTCTTATATTAAACTGTTTTTTATGTCTAAAAAGTGGCAATGTGTTATCATCAAAGCATTTACATTAGAGTGGTTTAAAACTCATAGGACGTTTTTCCATATCATTATTTTTTATTAAGTACTTACGGTAATGTTTTGGCAATGAGATATCAGTGATTTTAATAGATAAAAGTTTGTACGATCACCTGTCTAGTTATTAATTGATTACTTATTATTAGTATGTACCAATTAACAACCAGTTTTCATACAACGTTTCAATTGCTTCGATGCTGTCATCTTCAGAAACGACCTGAGAAGGATTATTTTTATGGTGATAGTGATGAATTCGATACTGGGTATTCTTGATAGAAAGGCTAGTGTGCTATCCACGCCAAATGGCATACCAAATTATCTATAAAAAAAGACCTAGAACCGAATAGTATGGCACACCAGCTTTTATATTGAGAAGACCCAGAACTGAAGCCCGATTACTACTATCATAAAGAAAATCCTTCTCGAGACTTTCCTAAAGACGACAGTAGATTAGCAGTTGGAGCTTAAGATAAAAACTATTTAACAATTAGTATCTAGTGGCATAAAATTAAATAAATTAGTAATGATTAGACTTAGATAATCGTATAAGCTATTAACCATAACAACGATTAATTATCACGATAACTCAAAAACAAATTAGTCATAGCATTGAAGCGCGAGTTTTGATCTCATTCTGAGCTCATAAATTTGATCATAATTAAAAGCCATTAAACATAAATTTAAGTGTGTTACCTTTAGTGCAAAATGCAACAGTTTAAAAAAAAACCTGATTAGGTAAACTCTAAATGTATCCGAAGTAGGTTATATTAAATCAGAACACGTATTAATATGCTGTTAATGTTAGAGTAGGGAGATTTAATATCGAAAGTCGCTGTATATAAGTCATTATGAAATATCCAGTTCTACATAAAGTTTGAAAACTTAAAATTATCACGATGAATTCAATACTTAAAAATAATACTCTATATGTTTTAGTTAAAAGGTGACAAGCATCCACTGATTGCTAATCTGAAGCCGGGTTTGAACCATCATTATCTAGAAACTTCTTTCTACTTTCCTATTAATGATCGTCTTATATTTGTATTACATAATTTAATGAATTGTCTACCGATAAAACGGTAGCCGAGCTGTTCACTCATTAAGGCATGTGGGTTATATAATTTGAATTATAAGTATAATGAGGATGGGAATAACCTTAATAGTGTTATGAAGGAAAGAGATCTTGGTGTAATAGTCGATTAGTCTCTAAAGCCAT